CACACACACACACACACACACACACACACACACACACACACACACACACACACACACGGAGCTCCCCCACCAGGTGTACAAACAGACCTGCAGAGAGCTACTTAAAGAAGTTCCCAGCCTCCAATTAGCATTAATAGCCCTTAAACCATAGGGGAAATGCATAGGGGTTTTGGTATGCTAATCAAAGGGCTAAAGAAGTGATCCAGGGATAAAAGAGAGCATGAAGAATAGGATGAGTGAAACAGAGATAGACAGGGAGGCAGAAGAGAGGGGATAAAGACGGATCAGTCAGAAAGAGGCAAAGTGAGGGTGGAAAAGAGCAAAGTCTTCAAAGAGATTGGAGAGCTGCTCGACTTCAGGGTGGCCTGAATGCTGCAGCTTCATGAGGGACGGCTGCCGGCCTTAAACAGCCTGTGAACAATCAGCCTATCAGGGACTCTGTTATAGCTTTATTGACTAACAAGCTTGGGGTCACTTTAGTGTTAAAGAGATTGAGAGAAAATCAAGTTTTCCCCCTTACCTCCTTCAAACAATGAACTCCCTCTTGATAGCAAACTTCCTGAGCGCTTCAACAACAAAAACTATCATTCAGTTATGTCTGACGACAGCCAGACGTTGGAAAAACTAATTAAAAATACTCCACAGTGGCCATCAAAGGGCCATTCTCTGGCCTGGTGTGAGCAGGTATTGGGCTGTTCCTCTTTCCGTTTTACCACACCCTCCACTGGCTCCAATAGAGATAACAAGTCTTAATGCAACGGCAAACAGTCGAACGGCGCGCTGGGGCCGATGTGATTAATGTGTCCGATTAGTGAACTCACAAAGTTATCGGGGAAGGTAAACGGTCCAAGAGGGTGTGTGGGCTGGAGGACGCCAACTCATATCCCACCTTTACTGGCCCCAGCAAGACTAATTACTCTAATTAATGAACTAAACTGATAACAACAACTGGGAAGGGGGGGGTACACTTTAAGGATTCCACACATTCGCACACTAAAGATTCAAAATGAACACTGGCACTGCTTTACCAACTGTTCTTTGTGCTAATACTGTTAGACTACATATAAAATGGAAAACTGGAAAATTCATGAAGGACCTCGAGTCAGGTCAAAACTTTATTGAATGCACAATCAGCTGTTGACAGTCAGATAAAGTGGCTGACACAAACAGGATTTACTTGGCTTGGCTGCCCATCTAAACATCGGCCACTTGTGAATATTTCGAAACTCTTTTCAGAATTTTTCATCACTTCAAAGAGAACGACTTCATCTTTGATCAGTTAACTAATAAACATTCTCTAAATTCAAAGCTTCATAGTCTATGGAGCTCACATTCAGTATGCAATGACCACAGTTTAATTGATACTGAAACAATAATAAATCGAATCAAAATAATAAATTGTGACAAAACTGAGTAATTCATTATCTTTAAACCTCTAAAAGCCCAAAAGCTATAAGGCTCACTGACTCTCCATGTTTTGGGTATATAGTGGGTTTACATGAAATGTAACAACAGTAAAATAAAAAAGATAACTTACATGACCTGATGTTGCAAGTACACTTTTTTCTAATACTGTTTTTAACAACTACTCTCTAACCATAAGTATAGTCAAAGCTCAAATGGCCTGTCTAAGATATGCACATACTATACTATGCACACTATCAAATGTAAACACTGTCACTGAAAAAGTGAGGAAGAAAAGGTCTTTGATAGCTTCACTGAT